TAAAGCAATAGGAAAATAGAAATTAATGAAAAGAAAGTTGGAATACCATATCAAGGTCATACAATGCAGAGTTTAGAACAAGGAAAAATTAGTATAACTTTAAAGACTGACAATAATGTTAGAAAGGTCTGTTTTCCAAGAATATATAACAAGTATCAGTGTATATGCAACCTAACAACAGGACATCAAAATATATGAGGGTAAAACTGATAGAACTGCAAGGAATTCCAAATCCATGGATTCATTATTATAGCTGGGGACTCCTAAACCCTTTTCTCATTAATTGACACATCAAGTAAACGGATTTTCAATAAGGATATAGTTGACTTGAAGATCACAAATAATCAACTTCATCTAATTTACATTATAGAATACTCCGTACACCATTAGAATATACTCTCTTCTCATATTCTCTTGGAACATTCACAAAGACAGACTATATTTTGGGCCTTAAAACATACCTTAACAAATTTATAACAGTAGAAATAATACAAAGCATATTCTGAAACTACAAAGAAATTAACCAGAAATCAATTTTTCAAAGACAGCTTATGAAACTCAAAATATTTACAGATTAAAATATATATATATTTATATATATGTATATATAAAACAGCAGAATGCATTATAATTCTTATTACATATATAGAGCACAATTTTTCATAAGAGATTAAACAATATATTTCTAAGTAATGTATGCATCAAGGAAATCTTAAGAGAATTTTTTTGAGTTTTTGAACTTAAGGAGTACAACTTATCAAAACTTATGAGATGCGCCTAAAGCAGTGCTTAGAGGAAAGTGTTCATTGAATGCATATGTTAGAAAAGAAGAAAGATCAACAATCTATTCTTCCACTGTAGGAAATCAGAAGAGCAGTTTTTAAAGCAAAAGAATAATAAAAATAAATTATAGCAGACACCAATGAAAAGAGAAGAACAGTACAAAAAAAAATCAATAAAACCACAAGCTGGTTCTTCATAAAGATCATTTTTTTAAAAAAAAAGAGAAAAGACACAAATTACTACTTTCAGAAATTGATGAAAGATCACTATTAATTATCACCAATATTAAAAGGATAATAAAATGAACAATTTTATGACCACAAACTTAATGATATAGATGAAATGGACCAACTGTCTGAAAGACACTTAATATCAAACTGGTAACCCCCAAGACCTCTCTACCCACCAAGCTCAGCACACACACATGACAAAAGCTAGACCTCTAAGAACTCACCTCTTAAAGGTCTAGCTTTTGTGTGTGTGTGTGCTGAGAACCTAAAACAAAATCCTAAATAACACATTAAACTCATGTCCTCAAAATAGCTAATCAAACATTATTTGTGAAATATTTTTGTATTGTAGCATGTGTACACAATCCAAAGTATTCATGAAATGGGCAATAGAAAAAAATATCAAAAAATACAAGCATGTTTAAATATGAGTTTCTCACCACATCAATCAATCCAGAATTCTTCTGATTTCTTACAGAAACTATTAGAATCCACCCAACCACAAAAAAGTACAAGTCCCTTGAACATATCTTAACATCAACTGAAGTCTGAGGTCAACCTACTTGGGGCTGCTGGATCTAATCTTCCTGGCATGCTTGTATCATCTAAACCCATCGCCATGTCTCCTGCCCCATAGACCTCTTGTTTCATTTATCTTTCTTCTGTATTCATCCCCATAATGCCCTGTGCTTCCTCTTCCCAGTTTGCCTCCAACTGTACCTTTTCATCAAATTTTTATATGACCTTGGAAATCAGATTTCAAGTTTAATACGTCCTTCTTTATCTTCAAATTCTTCAACAAAAATTTCCCTCCATTTTTTTTCTTAACTGCACTTTTCTGCTATCTTCCAAATTCCAGAGGATACTACTAACCCTTCTTTGTACACTTCACGACTCTTATATAAATAGTATATAAGGTTACTTTATATAGTACTTTGTTTTCATCTATTTCACTTATCATATCTAATAAGCATGATCAGTCAGCCAGTCAAATCAGTCAAATGAATACCATTTCCAAAGTAGGAACTGATAATTGTTTTGAAGTAACACATATTGGTATCAACACTTAATAGGCTTAACAGTGAAATATTACATAGGTTTAGTTCCGCAATCCACAGGTGCCAAAAACTATTTAACCTCTGAACTGAAACATTTCCTTATTCCAAAATGCAAAGGTTTTTTCCCCTCCCTTACTTGCAAGAAAAATGATCTACTTTAGTTTTTAGTTAGAGAAATTAATTAAGTCACACAGATTATACAACAGTCATAACAATATAATACCTGGCTGTACAGATACAACCTCTAAGAAATACCAACCCAAGAGAGGTCTCTAAATACAATCAGTTATAAATTGGCAATATCCAAATAAAGTTCATGGTAAAAGACAGCAGAGGGTTTCAGGGAGTCCAGTTTTGAGGTATGCTTTCTCCCCAGTTGTTATACAGGCACCAAACTATTTTGTTACTAGTTAACAAGTTGACTCATCTGTGTGGGGCACTGGCACACAATAGCAGTTGTGTTCTACCTCACAAATAACTATACTTCATTGAGTTTATGCTCAGTGGGGCAGTGTTTGCAAACCACTTAGATTCCAAGACAGAAAGAGCTACAAAAATGAAACATCCAGTCCTTCTCTGAGGTTTGTTATTAGCCTCTGTTAGCCACAGGTTACAGGGCACTAAACACTATGTACTGTGTGTTTGCTCCTAACCACTAGGAAAAATAGCCTATAACATCTTTCTGAAGACTCCTAGAAATTTTTTAATTAATTTAAAATCTGGAAATTTTACTGGGACATATTTCAATTCTTAGAACTAGTTCTTGTTAAAATATCTTACTAATTCTTTTTGGGTGTCAATTCAATTTGGTTTCAACGAACACTATTCAATAGACAATGGCTAAAGTTTAATGTTACTGGGGGAAAAGTGAAGAGGGTAAAATAATCAGTTTTATTTAGGCCTAAGTTAACTTCCACCCTAAAATAAGCTTCTTCCTGGATATTAATAAATGCTTTTTAAAATAGACTTGCTAGTTTAATAGGCCAGACATGGATAAGATAACTCTTTCTAATCACAACACAAAGTTAGAGAACCTAAAACAAAATCCTAAATAACATATTAAACTCATGTCCTCAAAATAGCTAATCAAACATTATTTGTGAAATATTTTTGTATTGTAGCATGTATACACAATCCAAAGTATTCACGAAATGGGCAATAGAAAGAATCTACAACTCTAAAAGCAATACAGATCTACTTTGAAGAATAAAGTATATGATTATATAATATAAAGTCATTAAGTATATTAGAATGTTTACAAAAGTATTGTTTTATGGTTATAAATAATGAATCAGCTTTTCTGTCCTAGATGTATATTTATATCTATTTTAACAAAATAAACTACTAATAAATAGGCTTTGTATATTTTACATAGCATTCACTTTTAATTTCTGGAAAATAGAAAAAAGTTATTACATTATCATTAGTTTATGACAACTCATTTCATCATCTGGAATTCTCAGTTTCCTGGTCAATTTCATGAAAATGGTCATAATTTTCTCAAGAACACTATACTACATGATTGTTTAATAAAGCAAGGTATGGGCTGATAACAGTCACAAAAACTGCAAGGTGTGAACAACATAAGGCATCAGCAAAAGGAAAAGCATCAACATGGACCTTCAAGACAGAGGCCTATACAAGTTCTAAGAGAAAAATAACATTTACTTTCTCCCAAGAAATGAAGCACATGAAAAAAGAGAATAGAGACATTTTACTAAACCTAAGGACTCCCCAAAAAGATGGAAATTCTCAAAATTTCCACAAATTTTCCTATTAAAGCCTGCTGATTGTAATCAACTATTTAATACATAAAACAATATGTTAAGGGGATGGTTAGGCAATATTGTGAACATACTAAATACCTCTGATTATATACCTTAGAATGGTTAATTTTATGTTACACTATTTTCACATCGATTCTAATTTTTATATAATAGTAATATATTTTAAATGACTTTTAAAAATAAAATAAATAAATTTTAAATGATTTTAAGTAAATAGAATTGATAAAACCCAATTCATGAACATTATATTTCCCTAATTTTTAAGAAAAAAGGATTATTTGAAGTTTATATTATTTACTCTTGAAATGCATAAAATACTCCTGTTCTTCACTAACTCTAGATATACTATAAAAATTATCCTATTTGACACCAAGAATAAAATATCATTATAAATTAGATCGGTCTTACTTTTATTTAAAAAAAAAAAAATCCTTTATGTGGCCAGAAGCTAGATTTTATGGGGCAAAGAGGAAAAAGAGTACAATTTTCAAATTGCATTTTATCAAGCACAGGAGTAAATCAAGGACTGCAACTTTCTACATATCTCTGTCCAGCCAGTTTTCTTTAGCTTCATGTCCACTTTAGTTCTAATTTGTTTAAAATGGCAAAAAAGCCAGACACACAAGTCTTATATACAGGTTTTAAAAATAATAGTGCATAAAATAGCAGGTCATATAATCACAAATGTAAATGTTAAACATAAGTAGAAAGATTTTGCAGAAAATAAGGAACAATGTAGAAAAACAAAGAAGAAGGTTTTAAGAATCAAATTTTTGTCCTTGCAATTTAAGTTTTCTCCTTTTCTATTTTTTATTATAAACAGATCATCTAATAATACCTATTTTATTATAAACAAATCATCTAAGAAATTTAATTTGACACTGCATTTTTCAACTGCTAACAATAACCTCTAGAAATATAGATGGCATGTAAGACGTTAAGAGTTTTCTAATTCCTACCAATTCCCTCACCCAAATCATTCCAAACATAATTTGGGGAGAATGAAACCAAAGGACTGGCACAAATGCAAAATGAGTCTCTCTCATATCAAGGAAAGATTAAGTTAGAAAGAGCATGTGTGTGTACATTTTTATAAGAAGAGTATTGTCAGTAGTAGAATAACCATAGAATTTATGTCATACCTGTGCTCCATAGATATATTTATCCAACATCTTTCCTCCTATTGTCTGCCCTCCTATATCCCAAAGTTGAAGAGTAACATTCAAGTTTCCTAGAATATAAAAAAAGTACATAAAAAGTTAAGTAATATGAAGCAACTGAGCGGAGTTTCACAGAACACCGAGTCACAATGTTAAACTCTGAACCTAATGTGCCTTTTATTCTGAAAAAAAATATTTGGAACTATGAAAATAGTGTTGTCAAAGAAGTCATAGTGGAGAATCTAGGTTTATGCCTTTATTCATTTCCATGGAACCACATTTATTCTTCTTCAAAACAAAATTAAGTACGCTTTAATTTATGAACTTAAGCCCTAAAAAAAAAACACAAGAAATATTCTGAACCTTAAAAAAATGTAAATATTCTCAAAGAATAGAACAATAAAGCACATGTGCATGGAGTAAGAAACATACTTTAAAAATAAAAATTAAAGCTTGATATGTTAACCCACATGAATTTTGCTGTCAGTTCTAAAACTCACCAAAAAAAAGACTATAAAAATGCATCTTAATTTCAACTCAAAGAAATATTTTTATTTGAAAGTCTGCTATATACTAATGATAAACAATCAAAAATTATGTTTTCAAATTTAACCTGTAAAATATGAACACATTTGGTGACCCTGGTCAGAAATGATATGATACCCAGACCCAGTATATTTCTAAACAAGATACATTCATACATATTCAAAGTATGTCCACTGAAACAGATTATATGTGCTTCAAAGTCTTGATAATATACTGTGATTAATTCTCTTCCCCCATGCAAGCACTATAAAAACATCCTAAAACACTAATTAAAAAGTAATCTTTAAAATTCATTTGTGCAGTTTGTAAAATATTTGGGTGAAGCAAAATGTGTGCAATAAGTTATTTCCTCTCATCAATGCAACTAATCATTGAGCTATAAAAGTGAATGACCATGTCCAATATGCATTTAGCTTAACCCTTCAAACTATTCTGGCTCATAGCACTATGTTGTTCTCTTCAAAGTCTCAACCAGCATCTTCTAAATGACTTGCAAATCAGGAAAATCCACATAAAAACTGAGAAAATGACCCCACTTCCAAAACAAAAAGAATTATAAAGACAAGAATTTTTAGGTCAATGTCAAACACTAAAAAAAAGAGAATGCTAGTCATATCATTTAACTGAAAAGAAAGTAAGACATTGGATTAACCAGCAAAATTTTACCCTTACTTCTAAATTTTGGTGGGTTTGTATTACAATCTTTCCATTGTTTGGATGTAGGCCTGCTCCATCTGCCACCGCACAGAGGATTTCCAGGAAGAACTTCCATTAGCATTAATGAGAGCTACTGAAGTTTATCACCCACCATCATTCTCAAAGAAACACTTTCAACGCTCACAGAGTAATGAGTGAAACGGTATTAAAGCCCTATGAATGCAAAAACCAAAATGTCACAGACTAAGACTTGTCCAACAACCTACATAAACCCAATTTCTTAAAAAATCTAAATTTTTGGAGAGTCAAACCAAAATAGTAGTGTTACAGAACACTGTCTCAAATTTAGTAGATGAGAAAGCTAACCTCAGTAAAGGTATATGTTTCAGAAGTCCCTAGATAAACAGACAGTAATCCATTCATTTTATTTGAAAAACTCTTTACAGGCATTTGTTTATATCAAAAGACAATGTTTAACTCTTATAGTGAGTAAATTATAGAGTAAAACTATAGGCAATGCTTATTAATTGCTAAAGGGTATTAAATCCAATTTCTTCAAGGTCAATAATCCCTATTACTTAACCTCACATCAAGATAATATAAAGCTTTTTGCCTTTTTTTTTCTTTATATTCTAATACTAGATCCTATCTGAACTAGATATTGTGAATATTTCAACTTTAGGAACACGCTCTTCATTACCTGCTTCCAAATACTGACTATAATTATCTTTAAAACCCTAAATCATCTACCTATCTCCAATCTAAGAGATTTATATTCATATGTTGAAGATACTTTTTAAAATCTATACCTTTTCAAACACTGTTGTTTGCCTGTTGCTTTTCTTTTTTTAAGATATAGATTCTAGTGACTCAGTAGTAAAAATAATTATGCATTATTGATAATCTACCAAAATTATCAGCAATGCATATTTTGCTAAAATATTAGTGAAAAGCAATTTACTATCATTATATCTTTGACAAGAGGTATTAACTTCGCAGATGTTTCATATACCTAGAAATACATATTTTTAACTTCTGCATTAGAATTTTAGGCTTATTAATACATAAAACTAAAAACGGGGATTCTCAATTTGAGGAAAAAAGTCATGTAAAGATGTGATTCAAATCAATTTTAACTTCAGATTTGAAAGTATAAACATATGAAGCCTCCTATTATGTTTTCAAGATGACATACCTATAAAGTTGCATAAGCATATTCAAGTAATACTATAATTTTTTTCAATCAAGTCTGCATCTAATACAAATGTGTAACAAATAAGAATATCACAGATATTGTCAACAATCTAATCTCAAATGCAAAATTCGATAAAGTCCCTGCTCCTCTGTAAGAAATGACATGTAACTAGGAAAAAAACAAAATAGATGGGGTAACAAAATACAAGTAAGTTGTTTTTGGTATGAATCAAAGCCACCAAGAGGACTCAACAGTGACCTTGTAAAAGTACACTTGGTGCCTTGGTTAACCTTACTTAAAGTGCTGCATAGTCAAGATGAAACTAAAAACACAAGACTGCCCACTTCTTGTACTAAGACTTAGAAATCCTTTTCACAGTAGAACGCTGTTTACTGGACTGTACCCACAAGCTTCCTGAAAGTATTTTGACTAAGGCTCTTAAGAAGCTCTATCAGCAGAATCTCTGACTAACAGATACACTATTTTAAGCAGTAAAATCTGCACAGTGGTTGCATCCAGACTATACAGCATACCGGATCATGAACTATACTAAAATGGATGAGTATTTGCAAAGTAATGACCTTGAAAACCTGCATGAAGAGAATGTGAATAGATGGACATGAGGTTTACATCCCTAACAATCTGACTGTTCAGAAAACTTTACTGAAATAGTAACAAGTATTAGATTCACATACGATGCCGCTTTACCATAAATTCAACAATGCTTAACTTAGCAAATGATACAAATAATAATTCTACATTGAACACTTACAATAAACTGAAATTAGGGTGAAAGCATATAAAGGATGAACTACGAACCTTGTGATTTATTTGTATTTCTTAAATACACCTATTAGTTACATAAGATCAAGACACACTAAAACAATTTTGAGTCCATTAAATGGCAAAAAAAAATAAAATCCCATCCTTTTAAAATGTAGAAATTTTTTCTGGAACACTGTATATCAAAATAAAAATTTCATCAAGAAAATTAAGATATAAATTCATTAAGAGCAAATGTTTCCAAGAGCATATGTTTCCATATGTTAGCTCAGCACTCACCTAACACGTAAAAGCCGTAGGTTGAATGTACTGTACCACAAAAAAAAAATTTCTTAAAAGAATATATGTTTCCTAACATCATTTTTTAACCTAAATACTTTGTAAGCCTAAATTATTATACTTTAAATTTGAATCTTAAGAATACTAGAACTTTTTACAAAGTAATCAGAATTTTTAAATTGGTAGCACTATGCAATGGTCAGAAATCATCACAAGTGTCACATAAATAGTCCAAATCAGTCTTTATAGTATTTAAGTAGATGCTTCCTCCTTTATTTAAGCTTTCAACTAAATAAATGAGAAAAATTAAAATTAAAAAGACAAAAAGTTGGTGCTTTTACTAATCAAAACAAAATAGCTGATAACTATTGAGGTTCTCTATGAACAACTGGCATCCCTGAGAAAAACTGGCAAAACTCAATTTTTGATATGTACATTATATGATTTGTGACTTCCCTAAGTGTCTTGAATGGAGCTTTAATCTTTCTATATGAATAAGAATGATACAAATAAAAATATTTTCAGTTTTTAATACATTAAAGAAAAATACAGATGAAATAAAGAATGTATGTTTCTCATTAAACCTCTTACTAAACAATAACTTATTAATGGAAAAGTTAGAATTCTTTTTTCCTCACATTGTCTCTCCTATTCTTCACTAAGAACTAAATAAAAACAATCGCAAAATAGAGTATATTACTAATGAGATAAGAAGAATACCTCAATTATCAAGAGTTTTCCTTAACTGCTCTACAACTTTTATGGGGAATAGTCTGATAGGTGGGGTGTTTGAGAGGTTAACAGATTTTAATAATACTGGAATCTATTAAATCCCATTACCCTGTATCACTTGCATTCTAGTATATGCATTTAACATCATACCATTTTATTCAAATGTGTTTCCTTACAGAGAAGAGGGTGATGGTTTATAAAGTCAATCAAGATAAACTGCTTTTAATAAAATACTTTAAACATAGAATTTGACCATTGAAATTGAATGGACAGAGCATTTTAAAGCCCCAATTGTTCAGAAACTAACTTAAAACATAAACCACTCTTTTTGTGTTATTATTTCCCTGTATTTCCCACAAAATGTGCTGCAACTGGCATCTAAATAGTTTCTTTGCATGGTGAACTGAAATATCTTGAATGCTCAAACTGTATTTTTATGAGTGCCTAGGGACCCTAAATTTTAGTGGTCTATTAAATGCCAGCAATTTCATGCTGCCTTGCATAAAACAGCATTCACATATTAGAGCACAGAAGTTCCATAGCTACATTATACTTCTGTTCCAACTTTCAAACAAAAAACTGAAGTAGAAGCTAATCAAAATAATATTTTAAAAAATAATCCTTCCCAATCTTTTCACATTTAGTTAATACAATATCTGTTAACAAATGTATAGCATTTAATTTTTTAACACCTTTTAGAATTTTATAAGCAAATATGATTTATCCTCAAAAAAATGTATAGTGGCCAGAAATAGTGAGGGGGTGTGGGAACATATAATCTTTTTATGGCTCACATGGACAATATGCCTTCATGCAGATGCTGATTAAAGTTAAACTTCCTACAATAGATTTACTGATTGCATATATTTTCTTGCAGAAGCAGCACAAAAATTCATTTTACACAATTTGGTCTTATGTTTGTTATTGCAATATTTGTACAATTTTCTATGTTAAGACTTTTTTGTCTCTTACCTGGCAATGTTATCCTTCTCAAAAAGAAGTCCAGTCCTATAGTTTGCTTGTACTGTTTTCCAAAAGTTTCTTGAGCAAAACACGTAGCTAAGGAGGTCTAAAAAAAAAATTGATGCACAAAATACCAAAATTAATTAATGGAAACATAAGACTACTACTAAATCTTATCAAGTATTTTCTTAACATTTATACTCCAATTGATCCACCAGACAACTTAAAGCAGCTCTAATCAGTTACAAGGGGAAGGAGAGACCTAATACCCCCAGGTAAACTTTACTTGCTAGCAGCCAGCAGTGGAGACAAAAGACTAATCAGTTAGATCTCTTCAAATCCCCTGGCTGTCAAGCAAGGGAAATTAGAATTAGAGAATTATTAACAAAGAAAACTAAAGGAACATGACCAATAATCTGAATCTGACCTATCAGTTCAAAAAAATGTTTTCAGAGAACTCTGAGTTTCACTTATAAGGTTAAATATTTTGAGGGGTAACTGTTCTCAGCTAAATAAGAAGAAGGGGAAAGTAGCTTATAAAATTTCTTTTTTTTTTTTTACAAGAAATTCATCTTAACAATCTAATTTTCCTCTGTTAAAGATATTAAATGAAAATAATTAAGTAGAATGACCCTGATAATATGTATCTTTTACATAAAGAAGCTAGCATTATTAAGATTAATATATAACAGGCAATATAAATCCTACTCAAGGTTCATAATGCTTAAAAGTCATAAGATTATAACCAGAACAGATAATCACCTACTTTTTTAATAAAAAGGTTTCATTCAAAAATCCTAAAGCTTTTTTTAATGTATTTTTTTAATCAAAGCAAATGAATAATTCTGGTAACAACTCAAATAACTCAATAACTCAGATTTCTTAAACATTTTAAATGCACTATTATTATTTGAAAATCTCCCCAAAAGGACAAAAAAGGCAGCTTCACTAAGATTTTATATTTCTCAAGACAGAGTGCCAAAGTTAGGGTAAAATAACCCTTTTTTAAAAGTTAAAATTAGATGTCAATTCTTAAAATAACGAAAACTAAGATAAATTTTCCAAGATAGCTTATTATAGTTAATTATGATGTAAGAACAGCAGTGTAAAAGAAAACTTGGCCAATTTTTAATTTCTTTTAATAAGACGTAAACTTCCTTTTACACAAAACCATATTTTTCACAAATGGCAATTTGTACACCCTAGCCCCAACTTTTTAAAATATTTACTCAGAATTTGTAATAAATTGCTAAGATATTTGATCAAGTAATTATTGAGCACTACCATAAGAAAGATGTTCTACTAGATATTTAGAAATAAACTCACTACATTTGTTATATCCTTGAAGCATATAATGATATCAAAACTGAAAGACAAGAATAAAAGAGGTGAGTATTCTTTTTTAAGTCTTTTTGGCTATCTTTTAGCCTAATTGTGCCTCCCTTGTAGCAAAAAAAAATCACCTGTAAAGAGATTCAAAGTTCTGAAGAAAAATAAGTATGATCACTTCCACAACTACAAGTGCTTCAAATGTTTAATATATGGGTGGTTGGAAATGTAAAAGTAAGGAGAAATTTGAGGCACATGGAACAGCATATTGTCATTTGAAGTAATTTTTCACTTTCATTTAAGATTCTCAATATTTAATATTTTTATGTTAATATTCAGAAAAATTCTGAGTAAACTTCTTTTCTTGGAAACAGAACTTCCAAGATTTTTAAATATTTTTAATTAGTTCACTACATTTGTTATATCCTTGAAGCATATAACAATATCAAAACTGCCTCAAATATTTGAGGCAAAAACAGTCTTAAAATCAGAGGAATTTCGATTGGACTAAAGTATAAACTGTCAATAGTACAGGTCATAGGAAACACAAATAGGTTCTTATTCCTGACATCAGCTCTAAAAATTATTCAGAGAATCAACTGAATCTATAGGAGAGAGGATTCTTCTTCAATTGTCTAGACATCATCCCACCTTTCACACTCAATAATTTCTCACAAATTACTACAGATACCATTCCTAAAAATCATAAAGTGAACTACCACCAGCTACCATATCTCAACATTTTTATCTGATTCTTTGTATTTCTTGTTTGGAAAACTAATATTAACATCTTTAAATCAAACTACATTGATTAACACCATAAAACAGCAAAAAAGACTATTTTGCCTCAAAAATAAGAAATGTTTAATAAATCAGAATTGAAAATATACAGAAACATGTGCCACTGGAAGGAGTAACTAAATTTCTCTTGAAGAAACTGTTAGAGGTCATGTCAGTACTGTTCTTTATTGCTTCTGTCTGTGTGTATCAAAAATGCACAGAGTTTAAGGAGCAGGAAAAAACTAATGCTAGAAAAATGGCGAAGAGTTAAATCAGGATACAAATAAGAAGTGAGTTCATAAAAGAAAAGGACAGTAAAAGGAGAATGGAATGTTGACAGCTGCCAATAACTGGAGGCTGAGTAGGGTAAGGAGAAAGAAATTTTTCACATAAGAATAAAAAAAGAACCTTAGGTTTCAAATGCCCATTTCTGAAAATTTCTGACAGGAAAAGAAAACTGTTCCTTTTTAAATGCATTGTTTAGTCAAGAGGATGAAGAGTAAGTTAGAGCACCATAAAAAATATCACCATTATTCTTTGAAGCAGAATGATAAGTCCTGATTCAACAATACACAAGTGAAAAACTGTTCTGTTCTACAAGAGACAGAGATGAAAAACTATAATTATTCACACTAAATTAGCAACTAAGTAAAAATATGTAGAAAAGCCTAAATTTTGGAAAACATGGACTTGAAATTATGAATAATTACTCTTCAACTGAGTAATAGATGTACAGTTAGATGAAAGCCAGAAGAAAAAAATGAACAAAAGTTTAAAGAAATATGATAACATATGGGATAATAGGTGATTTGAGGATCATTTCACAAATGCATTAATATTATCGTCATAATTTTAAATGGAAAATAAGCTTAGTTACTAACTGAATTCAATAAAATTTAGAAAGCAAAAAATTATGTGGCTTTCAAAATAAAATCTAAATGATAAAATCATAAAAACCTAACTTAAAATTTTTATTGAATAAGTGTTAGAAACAAGGCTGACTTGTAAATTTATAACAATTCACTTATTCAAAATCCTTTTTAAGTGTCCAAAACATTCGTATGCTAATAAAGCGACCCCATGTTCTTTTCTTTCCCAAAATATTTAAAGGTAATTACAACATATCGAAGTATTTGCCTCAGAATAAAACTCAGTAATGCAGCCTGGAAAGATAAAGAAATGATAGGATTACTCCAATTTTGAATACGAATGACATCTTTCCCAAGGTCTCTAAACCTCGAACTTCTGCAGCAGCAGTCGTGCAGAGCAAACTGCCAAGGAGGATTCGAAGAGAAGCCGTCACCGCATTAACCAGGGTCCAAACTACACCAGCAACGTGGTAACGTGAAACCGAAAAAGGGGAAAGGCCAGCGTTTCTGAAGGCTGGCTGGGGAAAGGGGGCGGGTAGAAGAGAGGCAAACTTTAGCAATATTCCCAGAAAGTGTGTTGGCGCCCTGCACAGAAGCAACAGGTGTGAAAGTACCCGGGGCAGAGGCTCTTCCATTTATTTGGAAGGTGGGATCCCTGCAACCCTCCCTCTCCCCCGAGCAAATACCTGGCAGTTTATAGCACTGCAGGAGTCCCACAACCTGGGGTCAAGAAGCCCAGCTCAGGGGCACTGGCTGCCTGGGGCTAGTCTCAGGCATGCACTCATTCATTCTTTCAACCAAAGATCATTGGTCATCGAAGGCTGGATTTTACGGCAGGGGCCACTGTCATGCTGGAAGTTCTACCCTAAGCAGGAGCTCAAAAAAACCTTTGTCCCACGAATACTTGTACTGACAGGTGCTGTGCTGGGAACAGATATGAAGAACAGGTATGATACTAGCTTAGTTACTAACGTTTATTGAGTGCACACCGTGTTCTAAGAGCTTCGTGTGTATTTTCGCATTTAATGTGTATTTTCACATTTCACCCCTGGCGGCGACCCCTATCGATACCATCTTATGGACGAAACCCAAATAGGTTCGCAACGTGCCCTCCAGTGACCCGCCGGGAAATGACGAGCCTGATCCTCTCGCAGGGCACCTGGGTCCTGAGCGGAGTTCTGGGAGCTCAGTGGGCAGCGCAGGCATCGGGACCTGGAAGGGCCGGGGGCGCCAGGTGCGACCTGCATTGCAGGCGGAGGTGCGGAACTCCCCGGCAGATGCTCGCCAGCCTGGAGGCGAGGAGCTGAAAGCTTCCCAGCGAAGGACGCGGACCCGAGTCTTGAAGGAGTTCGCGATCCCGCGGGGAGCTGGGGACCCACTTCTCTGTTTTTAAGGGGGCGCTGGACAGCTCTCCGCCTCCGAGCGCCAGCTCCGTGTTCGGCCGCGGGCACCGCCAGGAGGCCGGGCCTAGGGGCGCAGGGCTCGGGGCGAGAGGCGACAACGGAGGGGCGGAGGCTGGGGCGCAGGGGCCGCGCCGGGGTTCCTGCAGGCCTGTGATGGCTCGCCCGCTCGAGGACTGACCTTCCCGGAGGTGCCGTCCCCCAGCACGACGATTTTCAGTTGCCGGTCCTGGCTCTCCTCCTCAGAGTCCGACATGGTGTCCTGCGAACCTGGCCCGCCCCCCGAAGTGGAGGGAGGAAGGGAAGTAGGAAGCCTCCGGGGGCGGGGGAGAGGAGGAAGGGAGGTGATGAAGGGCCGACCCCCCGCCCCGGAGTCTCCACAGCCGCTGGAGGAATCCAGGGAGACTCACTCTCCGGGCGCCATCTTGCCCGCCTCCCCACCCCCTGCGCGCAGCCCCGCCCCTGCGCCTGACGTAGGGCGCGCGCCCCGCCCCTGCACCAACCGTGCCCTCCGCGAGCCTCCCCCGCAGGCTGGACCACTATGATGGCGTAGGGGTATTCTAGTGGGACTCACGAGACGCAGCGCTGCACTGGCAGAGGAAGTTTGCTGGAAGAGAAAAGTAAATGTGTCTTTCAAGGTAACTATAGAAAATATGAGCATATAAGCTTTCAAGCGTCCTATTAAATTCCACTCTTTCTGTCCCTGCCTGAGACGGTCCCTGAAGCAAATGGTTTAGCCCAACGAGGTGGAGGATGCTGACGCTTGGTTGCCAGGGAAGCCGGGAGTCGAAGAGGCGGTGGGGCGTGGCCTGTCTCTGGGCACCCACGCGCGTGACCCTAAGGAGCCCAAAGGGAGCGTGATCTGCAACCGACTTGAGGATGAAAGTCCTGAGCAGCAAGAGTGCTGGCCGGCAGCGGGGCGGTGGGACGCTGACTAACACCGCCCTCCAGGCGATGAGCCCAGCAGCCGCAGTGAAGTCAGTGGAGCTCTCGTTCTGTCTGCTACTTGTTTTGGCCTCTCAAACCCTCGGTTTCCGCCTCTGAACAACCAGAGTCGGAAGATTAATTCACCAAGCAGTGCTGGGCGCCAACCTCCTGGCGAATGCTTTTCAACTAGGGCACCCAAAAGTGTGGCCCTGCTCATATTCCGATGAAGTGAAAACAATTTTCCATGATAATTTGCCTTTATTCCACCTTCATTTCTCACAGAGATGCAGTTTTCCAGAGGATACCTACGGTGTATGAGGTCTTCACTCTAGTAGCTAAGGGAGCTAGTGCTTGCAACAGTTCTTAAACATTTCTCAATTTTTAACTTCAACGCATTAATGATACGTGTAACGCACAACAACATAAAGTCTTTGGCATTCACAGTATATCTTGAGAGTATAGAAGTCTTTGTCCAAATAAAAGGAGAACTGCCCTGTACAGCCTCCCTAACAGAATGTCATCCAAACTTCATTAGAATACATCCGCATTCAATCGGTTTATTCTTTCAGAAACAACTTGACAATAGATGGTTATTGTAATACTCAGTTTCTCAGAGAAAGGGTAGAGAAGAGAGGGAAATAAAGATAATAGATACCATTAAAGCACATTATTTGCATGTATAAAAGTGTCACAAAGGAACCCAATTTTTGTACAATTAATATGAGCTAATAATTTTTAAAAACACTTTAAAATTTTTTTCTCACTATAAAGTCCAGCCAATGACATTAGGTATGTCCTGTAAAGTAAAACAAAAATCTCTCGTTCTATAGGAAGATGTTCAAAGAACCACTAGGCTGGGGGAGGGGAGTGATAATTAATGATTAGTTCAACAAATATTTAGTGAATGCCTGCTATATCAGTTATTCTTGTTCACAACTCTTCTAAACGCTGAGGACAGGAAGGAAAACAAAACATGTAAGGGCTCTGCTCTATGCAATATACAGTCTGGTGACAGGGTATACTAGGCTGATTAATGGCTAGACAAGATGTCAGGCCCGGGTCCTTGGAAACTGTAAATGTGAACATGGAAGCATCTTTCTGATGTGATTAAGTGAAGGATCTTGAGACAAGGAGATTATCTTGGACTACCTGGGTGGCCCCTTAATGCAATCAGATGCATCCTTAGAAAAGCAAAAGGAGATTTGGCCCAGAGACACAAAAATGGCAGCAGTATAACTACAGAAACAGAGACTGCAGTGATGCAGCCACAAGCCAAGGAAGCTGGCAGCTAGTAGGTGCTAAAAGAGACAAACAGTGAATTCTCCCATGGAGCTTGCAGAGAGTGTGCATCTCTACCCACATCTCGCTTTCCAATGATATGACTTAGAACTTCTGGTTCCCAGAAGTATGAGCATACAAATTAATGTTGTTTTCACCTACCAATTGTATGGTAATTTGATACAACAGCCACAGGAAATTAATGCAAAGAATAACACAGATATTTAATAAAAAGAAAACTTCAGATTCGTATAGATTAAAAATAGTGAAACAGCTGATGGATCGGATAGAGCAAAAATATCTGAACATTATTATTCGAATATCACTAAGAAAAGTAAGAAAATAAGTGAATTAGAAAGTGACTTATTTTAGAAAGTACAAGTCTCTACTATCATTTTATCAAATGCAATAGTCAGCCCTCAGTTTCCTTCATCTTTTTTGAAATATTTCATAACTTTAAAAAAGCAAATTTTATGACTAAAAGTCCATGGAAATATGGATTTGGGGGAAAAGATAAAATATTATTGAGTAAGGCAAAATAATGGCCATAATCTCAACTTTTACATTTCTGTATTTCTGCTGAAACATAAGAAAAATATAGGAACAATCCCCAGAATTTACTGGTTTACCAAATGGCTAAGGGGAAAAAAAATGAACCTCTCTTCATAAAATTATTCTCTCCCATGTTTATGTCTAAACATACAGACAGAAATACACATATGAATGTATGTAGGGGTGTGTGTAGATGTGTGTGTATGGGTGTGTTTAACACCACCTAGATCAAGACATAGAACAATTCAGAATCCCAGAAGATGCCCTTATGTATTCTCTCTCAGTCATTTATTCTCCAAGTAAATACTATTCTGATTTCTAGCAAAATAAATTTGTTTCTTTAATATTTTTTTTAGTTGTTGGTAGACCTTTATTTTATTTATTTATATGTGGTGCTGAGAATCGAACCCAGTGCCTCACATATGCCAGGCAAGTGTGCTACCACTGAGCCACAGTCCCAGCCTAAAAATAAGTTTTAAGTGTTTTTGAACTCTGTATGAATAGATTACACACAGGATGTACTATTTGGTGTCTGCCTTCTTTCACTCAATAGCATGTCCATGAGAGTTATCCATGTTGTATGTGCAGCAGTAATTTGCACTTTCCAATGCTCCATGCTATTCCATTGTGTCCACTTATCATTATTCATTTACCACTTTCTTTTGATGGACATAGATGTTGTCTCCAGTTTATGAAATATGCTTCTTAGTACACATTACAATTCCTCCAAAGGAAATCTCAGTTCACAAACACCACTCTACTCTAATAAAAGAAAACAAATTCTCCAGCTGAGGTTGTAGCTCAGTGTTAGAGCACTTGCCTCGCACTGTGAGGCACTGGGTTCGATCCTCAGCACAATATAAAAATAAATAAAGGTATTGTGTCCATTTACAACTAAAAATATTTTTTAGAAATTCTCTATGTACACTTTATAGTCTTGAGATGAGTGAAGCACTCAACAATCGGGGAACCGGGTCATGCATGCCCCTTCTGAACATCTGCATGTATTGATTTAACCTTGGATCATCTATCTAACATATCTAGTAGTCTCTACTTAATGCATCAATTTTCACATAGCGTTTTGTTCAGAAATATAAAAATGTCATTTCCACATAAATATATTTATTTCATTTTCGATCAAAACCTCCCTAACTTCTTTAAATTGATGGAATGATATTAAATTTCATCTGGAAGAATAAACACTTAAGAATAACCAGGAAAGTAAGTAGGAGGAGCAAGAAATAAAGGATCCATGAATAAGCAGTATAATTTTATTTTTCAATTTCATTTTTATTGGTTCTTTTAGTTACAGCTGACAACAGGATTCATTTTGACATAATTATTAATGCATGAAATAAATTTGCTCTAATTCATTCCCCAGTATTTCCCCTTTCCCTCCCCTTCTCCCTCGCCCCCTGTTCCTTTCCCTCTACTGATCTTTCTGCTTATTCTAGTTTTCTATGGTTGAAAGATAAGAGAGTGCTTATTTTTTCTCTTTATTTTTTAAAAATTATTTTTAGTTATGTATGCCACCAGTACAAATCCTGACATAATCATAGAACACAAGATGCTCCAATTCTGGCCCCAGCCCTTCCTCACATCACCCCCTGCCCTGCTCTCCTCCCTCCACTTTACCGATCCCTCTTCAACCCATTTTTTTTAATTAGTGTCCAGTAGACACACCAATGCCAGGCCCCACTGTGTCCCTTGCATGCATGCACATAGGAAAGTGCAGCCTCATTCATTCCACTCTTCTTCCTTTTTCCTGTCCCTTCCTCCTCCTCCTCAATCAGCTTAATCTACTCTTAATGCCTCTATTTTCTTTCTTGTTTTTTCTTAATTTTTTTTAATTTCCCCCATCCCCTTAATTTGAGTTAGCTTCTGCATATCAGAGAAAACATTCCACCTTTGATTTGGGGGGATTCCATCAGTTTATAGGCCAATGCCATAACTGCATATGCCATAATTCCATTCTTCTTATGGCTGAGTAATTCTCCAATGTGTAACTGAACCACATTTTCTTTATCCATTCTTCTGTTGAAGGGCACCTAGGATGGTTTCATAGCTTGGATATTGTGAATTGTGCTGTTACAGACATTGAGGTGGCTGCATTATTGTAGAATGCTGATTTATTTATTGGTTCTCTTTAGTTATACATGACAATAGAAATCCATTTTGATATAATTTTACAAGCATGGGATATATTTTATTTTAGTTAGGATCCCATTCTTGTGGATGTACATGATGGTGGGGTTCACTGTGGTGTATTCATATATGCACATAGGAAAATTATGTCAGATTCATTCCACTGTCTTTCCTTATTCCCCACTTCCCTCCATTCCCCATTGTCTAACTACTGAACTTCTGTTCTTCCCCTTACCCCCTCCCATATTGTGTTACCTTCCACATATCAGAGAAAACAGTTGACCTTTGGCTTTGGGGGACAGCTTATTTCACTTAGCATGATAGTCTCCAGATGTATCCATTTACGACAAATGTCATAAAGTTCTTCTTTATGGCTGAGTAACACTCCATTGTGTATATATACCACTTTTGTGCTGGGTGAGAGGTAGGGGTCAAGTTGCATTGCCCTACATGTAGATATACACTTTTCCCAGCCCCATTTGTTAAAAAAGGCTATCTTTTCTCCAACATATGTTTTTGGCACCTTTGTCTAGTATCAGAT